GAGGGGGAAGGCTGCGGGGTCGGGCGGGGGAGCGCCCGGCCGGCGGTTTCCTGGGCGGTGGGCGCTCTCAGAAGAAACGCGGGTGGCCGCCGGGGCACCTTCGAGAGCCCGGAGGAGCGCGACCCCTGAAGCGCTGGGTAACAACGATTTGACCTTTCAGTTAAGGGCGTGCGTTTCGCGGAGGAATGCGCTGAGCGGCGGAGACTCTGGTTCGTAGGGGGTTAATAGCCGTCTTGGCACCTAAAGCTAGATTTAGTAAGTGGTGAAGCATCTTCACAGCATGCTGGTTTGGAAGTGGAGCAAGTCAGCTGAGGTTGGTGGTACTTTGAGCTTACTTTGAGCCCTAAGAAAAGGGCACAGGTGCGGTCTTTTGTTGTATTGCATACACATAGGCATGCCACGTAGATGACAAGGTCTTTTGAGTTTTCTCTAGGTGGGTCACGGCTTCTTCCAGCCTCTTTGGCTAGTGCATATATATATGGTGTAAAACTGCATCGGAAAAAGTGTGAAGCTGTTTTGTAGTCCTGAAACTATTTATACCTGGAAGGTATTATAAAGGTATAAATAATACAGCTATTTATACCTGGGAAAGGAGGTCATGTGACCACCAGCAGGCAAGCAGAATTTTGCTTGTTTACTTTCTCCAGCTCTTGGTTTACTTTGATGCCAGAAACTTTATTTAACTAGGCAAAGACAGCTGTCAGATGCAGTTGTCATACTAGTGGAACATAAGTTTGCTACTTTCAGTTTGAGATTTCTTAATTAAAAGAACTTTTTCCCTGTACACTATAATGAAATTGCTTGTGGTGTTCTTGACTTCTCACAAGCCTCAGCAGTCCAGTATCTTTTACTGTGACTGTTCCAGAATAGGAAGACAGCAATCTAGAGATAACACTAAAATATCTCCAGATGCCATATACAGTGCATCTACTAAATTTAATTTTGGGGAGGACAAGTGCAGTATTCGTATGTGCCCTCAATTCATAGCAGATTACCGTGTTCCACTTTTATTGCCCTTAGGAATCAAGGATTTGGTGACTGTTCAGTTTTTCTACTAACCTTGCTTTGCAGAGGTTAACCAGCAGTCAAGGTGAAGTATTTTTATTCCTAACTTCTGCAGTTCATGGCAGAGAGTTAGCATTGTTTGCCTTTGGGAGGCTCAGAAGTCTTGCTATAATTTTATACAAAGGATTTATGTTTTTGAAAGGCGTAGTCTGTGCAATAGAACATATTCAACAGCTTTAAAGTTGTTAATTTTATTTCTATTGGAAGATTAAGACTGGGCATAAACTGACTTCAGCAATGCTCTTTAGATTCTGGGTTGAAGGGCCTGTGTTACACATGTTGTTGCCAGTTAGTACTCAGTGTCAGATTTCATACACAATTTAAGCAGTGCTGACTGCCCTGTTTTGGAAACTCCTTCTAAAGATAGGAATACAGACTTTAAATGGCTACTGCCAATACTTCAGGGATTTTTATTGTTCTGTTTGACAAAAGTATTATGAGAGTAGGATCTGTTAATTTTGGAATTAGCATCAGAATTACGCAAATTCTGAAAAAGTGGGGCTCTTCTGCTGGAGTCCAGGAAGCAATATGCTATGTTATTTGCCAGAAGTGTTTAGCAGATAAGAACTTGGTCTTATTCTGCATATCCTTGTTAGTGCTCAGAGCTTGGTAATAAAGGGCTTTTTTAGATTGTCAAATTGAAACTGGTCATAACCTGCACATGCAGCGTAGTGCCCAACAAGTACATTATTTCTCAGCATTAGTATGATGACACTTTTTCTTTTCTTACAAGTTCATAATGATGTTACTTAGCAGTACAACTGCAGCATTGAATGGTATAATAACATCCATATAACCTTCTTTAAGAATGCTGATATCACTTGGTGGGGGCAGGGTGTGCAGACATACTTTAATTCTATAACCCTGTAATTGATTTTGGTGACATGCCAGCTCCTAATGCAGTTCTTGATTTCATTTACAGCATCAAGATGACTCAGGAGACAAACCAGACCCCAGGGCCCATGCTGTGTAGTACAGGATGTGGATTTTATGGAAATCCTAGGACAAATGGGATGTGTTCCGTTTGCTATAAAGAGCATCTTCAGCGACAGCAGAATAGTGGTAGAATCAGCCCAATGGGTAAGGGTGTGTGGTGTTTGTTTTGTTGGGTTTTGTTTTTTTTTATTTTGCTACTTTTAAAATAAATCCCATAAGATGATGAGGAATCCCAGAATACTTTTCAGGAGAACTTCTGAAAGCTGTGTACTAAAACAGTTAATATCAAAGAGAATACAACTTTAAATCACAGTAAAGATAAAAATACATTTCTGTGTAATGTGTTCTGCTCTGCTTGGCGTTCAGCCCTAACTTGATTTCCCACTTAGCCTCCTCTGTTAGCGTGTTCTTATACAATCTTTGTATTTTGGTTGCTAACAGTGTAGGCTGTCTTTAAGTAAGAAGTAATATGCAGTAGCAGTGAAGATCATATGCAGTTTGTAGCTGTATGTGAGTCTATTTGACTAACATATATTCTACCATTTGCTCACAACTAACTTGTCAAATTCTTGTTATATAGGAACAGCCAGTGGTTCAAACAGTCCTACCTCAGACTCTGCATCTGTACAGAGAGCAGACACTAGCTTAAACAACTGTGAAGGTGCTGCTGGCAGCACATCTGAAAAATCAAGGTAAGATGAAGTTACTCTTTTGAGGTTTGAATGAGCTGCGAGTGTGCAGCAAGTTCAAGGCCTGCAGCAGTCCTGCCCTATTGTGGTGAGTTTCTGCAGAGGAAAAAGGGACGCTCTACCTAACAGTGCTTTATGAATACATGTAAATGAAAACAGACTAAAATATTTTATTTTGGACTGCTACATTTAAAAGGAGGGTTTTGATTTATCTGGATAAATATTTGCTACAGGTTTGCCTGTTTTTCTTTTAGGGAAACTAAAACAGAATAAAAAATGTGTTTTGAAGATAGTAGAAGGAATAGAGGATGGAGGTCAGGAATGTGTATCAGTAGTAATCGAACAGGTAGTTTATTAATGGGTCTGGGCAGTTTAAGCTTCTATGCTGAATGCAAAACTATCGTAAATTATGTGTTTCACTGTACTTAAACAGAAATGTGCCTGTTGCCGCTTTGCCTGTAACGCAGCAAATGACAGAAATGAGTATTTCAAGAGAGGAAAAAGTAACACCGAAAACAGAGACTGAGCCAGGTATGTTTGCAGAGTAACACTGGGTACAACTGATGACTTAAGGGAAGCTGGTGGTTTGTTTACTTCCTAAGTAGACGTTTCCTGTTGTGGTGTTGGTCTGGATGTACCATTAAGATGATTGTTAAGGATGCTTTTCAAGCACTTCCTCATCAGAATCCAGGAAAAGGACTACTGCCACAACAGATGCACGTTCAATGTTAGTAAAAAAATATAGACTCCAGTTGAGGTGGTTTTGGCTCCCAAACCTTCATTTTTAAAAATAAGGAACTCCAGAATTACATTTGGGCAAGGTACTCAGTTTTGAGGTCAAAATGTTGAGATTTTCCTGTATTATCTAGCAGTGCAATTCCTGCTGACTCTTGATAGTCAAAATGGCTTGTTGCATTTGGAGGATTGAGTTCTTAATAAATTCCATTCCACAGAGGAGTGAGGCTGGTTCTTGAACTAATTGAGTAATCATAATAGCTGGGTGTGAATTTTCAATTTAAAAGTTTTATTCTAGTACTGGAAGGTTTTAGCTGTAGGAGTTAGTGTTTCTTGGAGGAGGCAGGCAGTCTTCTTACCTAGAAGCAGGAAGTGATTGAATTCATATCACTTGTTTTGTACTTAAACATATACACACTTTTAAAATTTATTTTAACAGTTCTGAAACAGTTGTAAAACACTAAAAGCTGATGTTTAGTAGGAAGTCTGTTCACTGAAGCTGAAGATAATTCATTTTTTTCAGTTTTGAAGACAGTGAGATGAAAATTGCAGAAGATGCTACTCAGCACTGTATAGAAGTGACCTTTATTTTGATATATCTTTGCCAGCAAAGGCTGCTCTAACACCTGATATTTAATTTTTCAGTATTTGTACAGATGATTTTACCATTTGCAGTTAGTCACACTAAGTCAGGATTCTGTGACATGAGCTGGTACAGTTATACAATCTACTGGGTTTTTCATTATGTATAGACTGAGAGATTTTTGCAAGTATTAGCTTCCTCTAACTGATGTCATCTGAAGAGGCTTTCTGTATGTAACTGAAATAATTTAGATTTTGCTACAATAGGTTATAAACCTATCTTGCCTTGTTATGAATTCCTACCTGATATGTGGCAAGCAGGAAAGAGGAATAAAATGGTAGCAGTGGTGAAGTAGTGGGTGACTTTATTCTTATTAGAACTGCCAGTAGGAATATGTCATTTTGACAGGTGTGAAGAACAGTCTTCAGTTATTGTTGACATACTGCCTGTTTTCCAGGTACTATGGATCAGCTGTGTGATAGGTAGTGTCACCCAGCACTCTATTAATTAGAATATGGGGAGAAAAAAATCAAGAAGCACCTCAAGATACTTATGCATTGTAAATCTCACAGGTTGAAACTAGTAAAAGCTGTCACAATCTTATGTAGATATCACTCGAAAAACTACTAGAGAACTTAAATGTGTCTGAAAAAACTTGTGGAATAAAACTGCCTTCCTGAGTACGTAGCTGTACATTCCTGAGGCAGCCTCAGCCGCTGTAGTGCCCGAGTTCCCTTTTCAGTGCTACAGTTTGGCACAGATTGTAGACACCAGAGAATAGTGTCCTTATATACTGTGCTTAGGGTTCGTGGGATGTCTGAAATACAGAAAGTGTTGGCTGTATTCAGTGATACATTGATCTCTGTCTTGCAGGCAAGAGAAACTGGCTTAGACTTTTGTCCTGGTTTTGCTAGAATACAGTAGATTTTCTTCTCAGCAGCTAAAATAGCCGTGTTTGGTTTTCAGCATAGGATTTGTTGTAAGAATGTTGATAATGTACTAATGTTTTTAGTTGCTGCTGGAGGTCCAAGGACTTTGTGTTTTGCTAATCTGCAAGTGCAAAGGACTAGGAGGGAGGAAACACAGTAATTAGCAGAATTGGCATTTGAATATGTCAGTGAGATACTCTGTATCGTATCACATCCAGTATATTTTGGAGGGTTGACCAGAAAGCTGGGGATTCTCTCGGGGATCACTCAGGCTCACTCTTCTCAGGATTACGGTTTCGGGACTGTCTGGGCTCCAGGATCGCTGGCTGGAGACAGGTTGGGCATCGGTCAGTGGGTGGTGAGCAGTTGCACTGTGCATCACTCATATATTCTTTTATTACTGTTGTTATTATTAGTTTATTTTAATTAGTGAATTGTTTTTGTCTCGACTCGTGAGTGTTCTCACTTCTACCTTTCTGTTTCTCTCCCCTGTTCTGTGGAGGGAGAGTGAGCAAGTGGCTGTGTTTGGCTGTTAGCCAAAGGAGTGAAACCACCACAGTTTTTTTAGAAAAATCCCTCTTGTGTCTGGACTAGTTGCATTTTTCTCCTCTCACAAGGTGGAACTGAAACAATGGCAAATAATTCGCATCGCCTCATAACAACAAACCTAATAGTTTATGAGGTGTAATTCTCTAAGGCAATGCCACAGTCATGGAGTTGTTGATGAAAACACAGTCTAGTGGTAAGCACAGTCTGACCCTAGCAGCTGAATGTCATAACCAGCTATCAAATAGTAGCAGATCATGGAGAAACAATGTAGCCTTCAAGCACAGTAGCTTGTTCTCCTTTTAACATCTTCAACAGCATGAATTAACATTCTCCTCTGACAGATATTCATTAGCAAGTTAAATTTTGGATATTTCGCTTACAAGCCATGAAGTTAAATATAGAATTGCATCTGGTCAACTGATTTTTTTTTTTTTTAGCAGTCTGTAGCATGAAATGATACTTGTTTGCTGTTGGAATTGAAGCAACTGACTTGAGGTGGTGCAATTGAGAACAAGGAGACAATGAAGATTAACAGGCTTATTTTTCTTGTTTGTAGTTCCCCTACACCACCTTCGCACAGGTTGAGGTTGCAACCTGGATTCTCATTTAGAGAGTGGTGCTGAAACTAGTAATTGTATCTTAACATTTGAAGGAAGAAAGGCATGAGGAGTGAAACTAACCTAGTTGATCTAATGTGCTGTGTTTTCTTGAAACTTGTAATTTCTTAGTTTAACTTGCTGTTTCATGCAATTCGATAACTGAACAGTGGTGTTTGTTCAGTGTAGTTGTGTGTCTGAGCTGCTCATAAGTCAGAGAAATATAAAGGCCTTTATGTCCAAACTCAAATTCTTGAGTGGACACTACTTAAAAAATACAAGAAAGAGACTTGAGTTATATAGTGACTACTAAAAATAAACTTTGAAAAGAAATATATTTTAAAAATCATATTGTTTCAAGTTACAGCCTGTTTTTAGCATTTTCTTGTGCTTTTGTAGGTCTTGTGCTGAATGATGAGCCTCCAGTCAGGTCTGTCAGTGTTTCCAGACATAATTAGTATAAACATGTGCATCTGAGGCTTCAGGGGGTTGTTGTTGTTGTTGTTTTGGGGTTTTTTTGTTTTGCTTTTAGACCCAGTAAAAGATCTGTTTTAGGGAGCAGTGTCATTAGCTATCACTTTGTGAAGCCACAACTGCAGAGTAGCACTGTTTATAAAGACAGACAGAAACTGAACTGGTTATGGTCTTGTGTAAATTACATATTTAAAACTACCCAAATACTGTTAACTTAATAATTAATCCACATTGTGGCCTATCTTGTGTAAATGCTATATTTAAAAATAACCAGTACTGTTAACTTATTGTATAATTACTCGACGTTGTAGCCTACCTTTTCTGTTCCTGAATTAATCAGCTTCAGAAGACAGCAGGCAGTGGTGGTGGGCTCACTTGTTTCTTGGCTTTCTACCAAGCCAATATGATTAGAGTTATTTTACAGCTATCCTGCATTCAGGTTGATACCCTGTTATGAGTTAGCCTCAATTATGTTGTAGACAGAACCAGTGTATTTTATCTCTGTGTAGGGTGTGTTGCAGATAGTATTGTGAGTAAGATGCTGAGTAGACAGCTAGCATATGAGACGTGGTAGGCTCAAGATGGTAACAACATGATAGTCCTTAGATCTTGATGCAATGCTTGCCTTGTTAATTCTTATTTGTTTTCACACATGGCTATAGTATTTTAACCATGTTGCTATCTGTAGACAGTTCATTTGTGGCTGTTGGTAAAGTTATCTGATATAGCACTTCTGTCTTGTGTTGAAAATAATAAGCTCATCTTCATGTTTCCCATATCTGCTGTAGCTTCAGTAGATGCCCTTGATTGAAACAATTCTGAAATGGAACAGGTAGTCTTTTCTAAGCCCTGAAGCTGTCCACCTTGAAAAATAAGACTGGGGACCCAGTTGGTGGTCCTGTGCTTGTTGGTGGTAGGGTGCTATTATTATTTTAACAGGGGTATACCACAGACATAAAGTCTTCATGGTGACCAAATTAAACCATATTTTTATGTGATACTGGAAATGGGGGATCTTTACATTGTATTAATGTAACAATAAAGTTATTCAATACACCTCTTAGAGTTGGGCATATGAGGTGAGTTGCATGGTGCAGAACACTTCTTTTCTTTGGCTTGAAATTAATCATGATGGGAAGTTTATTCTGCAGCTTTTCATCATGGGCATCTGGGTTGGTGTAGCAATTGTTCCTGAAGAATAAAGTATTTATGCTCAGGAAGCTTGATAAAGCATAGTAAGTACTGTCCATCTTTTCAGACTAAAATTTTGTATACAAGTCCATTGTGTTAACATGCAATATAAAGACTGCACAGTCACTAGTACAGCTTTGTCCCCTGGTAGTGCAGAAGTGCAGTCTAATGTCTTCCCGATTACTTTTGACTTGACCTTTTTTCTTGTTTGTTTTATTTGTCCAGTTCTTCCATGATGGGAGTTGGGCGTTAGCTGCATCAAGTTAGATGCTTAAATCAATTTTATTTTTTCTTTTAACACTTTCAAGACTTTCCTCTACTGATATGCTTACCAGTTACTAGTACTGTGAATGTCATGCAGTTTAAGCTGTTTGGATCTTATTTTTGGTTAATTTTTGTTTAATCAGAGTAGCTTCTAAAAACTTCTTGGTGTTACTTTGGTAGTGTTTTCTGGTCACTTTTGATATGGCAACAAAAAGTAATACTGCTTCATTTCATCACGTTTTTTTCAACTTAGACACCGGAGTCATTCCTTTCCAGTGTGAAATATCAGTGGGGAAAATACTTACAGTAGGCATGCTCTTTTGCGAAAACCATGCTGGTTTATATAAGGAAAAACTACTGTTAGTTTTGAAAATGCAGTTCTTGGAGTGTTTTTTAATTTTGAATGGCAGTCCTCACGTAGTCACTGTGGCTTAATACTTTGGGATCTGAGGAGTGTTTTGTTTTCCAGTTTGTAGGGCCTTTCTGCATGCATATAGGTTGAGTAGCTGTCATGCTGTGGCACATGGCTAGCTTTTCTCATCAGTGGCCTTGCTGTTCCCATATGCCTTTTGTAAAGATGCATCTTATGTTAAGACTACATGTGAAGGAAATTTTCCCACATTCGTGATGCAGTGCCTGTATTTGTGGGTTTTTCTGGGCACCTCTCCAATACGAAGATTATGTTAGTCTTTATTATCCTAGCAGATTGGTGATGGTCTTCCTTGTACATGATGGTAGTGCATATTACAGTACCTACACATAACAATGTCAGACCAAAATAATTAAAAAAGGCCTGCCCAGATCTGATAATCCATTGCTTCTAAGTTTTTGGCATTGTTATAAGAGAACTGGTCTGATAAAATTCAGGTGAAGTAAACCTGATCGAGTAACCTCTTGAGCCAAAGATTGCGAAGGGAGAAGTGGCCAGGGTGGTGGAGAGGGGTACATGCCAACAGAAACTGTTAAAGTGATAGAGAAAACCTGTTTTACTGGTGAGAGGTTTGCTTCTTCCAAACACTTGCTGAGGAAGCAGGTCTACAGGTACCAGTAACCACTATTTTTGAGCTTTCAGTATTTGTTCAGTTATTCATTCTATGGTGATCATACAGCAATCACTTGGAGAATTTTGATGATTAGCCCTGTGTGATTTCTAGCATAAAATGAATTTAATAAACTGAGGACTGGCATTGTACTTGCCCGATTGTATTTGGCTTCTGTGCTAAAGGAAACCTTTTGTGACAAGCAGTTGTCAGGATAGTATCTGATGAAATTATATTGGCTGCTGATGTCGTGGCAGAACAAAATTTACAGTATCTTTCATCTGAGCCACAGGCTGATGAAAAAGGGGTTTTGTTCTGAGCTTTAAGTAAGGGGCAGGGTAGGCAGCTTTGCCTCTGTCCTGGCCATTACTCAAAAGCACATTTATGAAGGCTTAACATGATAAAAACTCATTTTCAGACTTAACTCTGCTGGTGGAAAAGAATAGGAGAATCCTTTAGAGAGTAATAAATTGACCATTTTCATTTGTATTTAGGGGGGCTACGTCCTGTATTGTTTTGGGACCTTTTAGTGCCCATTATTGCATGTTGTGTGCTGCTTTTCCTTCTTAGGATGTGTTCTAGTTGTGGGGAAGGGTCCTGGTCAGCAGCCCTTTCAGGAAATGTGCCTCTACAGTTTCTTAGGACCACTTTATAGTTCCTGGGCTGCCAGTTGTCATAGTTTCTTCGTGCAAAGGAGGAAATATACCTGTAGTAGTTGGTAACATTTTCCCTTAGATGGATTTGTTCAGTGTCCTTTGTGGTAGAGTGATCTACTAGGCTATCTCTTTGCCTTGGTGATTCCTGGGAAACTGCTGTTTCCACTTTTGCTTCCTAATTGGCATGTTAGGCAGTGATAAAGGCTGTTCCTCTTCTTGTTTTCATTTTCTCTTAGTGCATCATGTGAGTGGCTTTAATTATTTAGGTCATTGTTGATTTGCCCCTTCTGCATTTTTCTGCTGCATCTGAATGAAATGGCATGTGTGTTTCCAGGGCTTGTATTTATAGGTTGGTTCTGGTGCAGATGAAGCTTACCCCTTAAGCTCTACACTAAATTGCAAAGTCCATGAGCGTTTCTGGTTCCTCTTTTTCATCTGCCATGGCTTAACAATAAGCATTTTATTTTTAAACAAGTTAGCAATATAACAAATCTGAAAGGAGTTTTGTATGCTTTTTGGGAAGAGTTTGGTCTTTTTTTCTTTTTTCTTTTTTTTAAGGCCATAGATGATGGCTGTTTGCCAAGGTGCATAATACCCCACAAGTTTACACTGTTCTTAATATCACTGGTTTTTAACATGGTTTTGGTCACAGCCTCTCAAATAGATTAACCGATACTGAGCACTGCTTTCCTTGGGATTTAAAGAGGATCATATCTGTTCTTGGGATTTAGAGGATCATATCTGTTCATGTAGAAAATGTTAATCATCAAGACAAAAAAAATTACGTTCTCAAAAACCAAAAGCGGCAGTAGAAATTACCCCAAAAGTACAAATAGCAGTAGTCAACACAACTGTTTCTTCATGTCCAGAAAAAATCCACTTTTCACAGCACATGGCACTTACTGATCCAAAAGAATCTCAACTAACAAATCCTATTTATGTTTATAAAGTTGATTACAAATAGGTCCTTAAAGCTTATGTACTCCATTTATTTTGGAATGTGTTTTGTAGTTTGTTGTATTTTAGAACAACAGATGTCATCTTACAGCTGGGAATGTTTAGGAAAACTTGTACCAGGAGCAGGTCTGAAAGTTATGTACAAACACACCTCACTCAGCTTTGCTCTGTTGCAGTTTGGCTCTAAAGAGGATATTTTTTTTTAAAAGGAAGTTTATTTGATTTAAAAAAAACCCCAAACTTTAAAACAAAGTTAACAGATTAAAAAAAAAATTCATGAAAGGACAGATTTTTATCCTTCAGAGAATTTAAGTAAAAGGTGACTCAGGTTTGCGTGAAGGTGTTCATGACAGAAGCAGTTGAAAAATTACTCATTTTGACTATACCTGCTTGAACACTAAAGCTAAATACAGCACAAATATACAGATCTTAAATATAAATCTGTGCTTTGTTCTTGAAATTAGTGAAAGTGTCAAAAACTTGAGGGTTCTTCTGAACTGTGCATGTTTTGTATCTGTGTTCTGAATCTCTCACAGAATTGGTGGCTTGCTAGCTGCTCTCTTGGTGAACTCTTAGGCATCTGACTTCATAAGTACAGTGGCAGAGTAACCCAGTACTCTGATAGTAGTAACACATCACTCAATTTCATTTGTTTCTAAAAGAGTTCCTGTTAGTTGCATTCTCTACAAGTATTCCCTCTGTTCAGCAACTTTAGCCATGACAGTTGTTATTGTTTTAGATCAAATGTTACTTGATCATGTGATTCTTTTACATACTAAATGTGTACATGGAACTTCTGGAGTGCTTTCCAAGCCCTTAACACCTATATATACCTGTACAGGTGTAACGAATAAATGCCTTATTTTCCAGCTGGTGGAACTGTGGGGAAAGTCCAGTTGTCTTCTTGTCTCGGTTTTCATCTGGGACAGAGCCAAAAGCGAAGAGCAGAATACCTAAAAATCCCTATTTCTGATTTACATTTTCCTAGACTAGTCTATGTAGTACTTTAGACAACAAACATGAGGGTCTTGGTAGGGAAAATGAATCCTTCAGAAATACATACATGCTACTGAATAGCTAGTGAAGTCAAGAAAAGGTAATTTAACCTTTATTTCCTTTGCCTGCTTTAACAGTTGTTACTCAACCAAGCCCATCAGTTTCTCAGCCTAGTACTTCGCAGAGTGAAGAGAGAGCTCCTGAACTGCCCAAACCAAAGAAGAACAGGTGTTTCATGTGCAGAAAGAAGGTTGGCCTTACAGGTATGAGAACACGTTGTCAATTTTGAAGAGATCTGTATAATTGGTTGCCTCTTGCTAGATTAAACTTGATGAACTACCTGTACCATTAAATGTACTTGCTTCTTCAGAATCTAAATAACTTAGTACAGCTGTTCTTTTTTCTTACTCTCTATGTCAGAGCAGGCGAACATACCTGCTTTGTAGTGACTAAGCCCTTAATTTACAACTTAATTAAATATGAAGCTTCCTAGTGATGTTGCTTCTTTTTCTACGTACAGGATTTGACTGCAGATGTGGAAACTTATTTTGCGGACTTCACCGTTATTCTGACAAGCATAACTGTCCGTATGATTACAAAGCAGAAGCTGCAGCAAAAATCAGGAAAGAGAATCCAGTAGTGGTGGCTGAAAAAATACAGAGAATATAAGTTAACCTGCTTGTGAAAAGACTGACTGACTTTTTGTTTTGTTTCTAATAAATCCTAGGAAAACACAAAAGAGCAGGTGCATGGCCATTTTCCTTTGTTCTCCAAAGTTTTGCTTTTAGTCTTGTCTGTCTTAATGATATTTCAGAATGTTTGGGTGTTTGTTACAGGCAGAATTGGATAGGTACAGCCCTTGAAAATATATATGCCCTCCCCAGAATATACTTTGATCAGAAAACTGCACAGGAATACACATGCACAGAGGACAGACTGTAGTTCACATGTGCCAAACAGATGTATGCTATCTGCATGGTTGCAGCAGATCTGCCTTTTGAGATGTGTTTGAGGTATGTAATCTTTGGCTAGTGTTGTGTGACTGTTTTGGAGAAAGATACCTCAAAAAGATTGGTAGTCTACTTCTGTCATTTAAAATCTCATTCTAATTTTAATTTCCACACTGCATTGTTTTCCAGCAGAATGTAAGCTATGTAGAGGGGTCCACCATCCCAGTAAGATGAGTGTTGGTGCCATGTTTGGTAAAGTCACTTACCAATTGCACTGAGAAGAAATGGGGGGAAAAGAAAAAAAAAAAAAAGATAAGAGAACGGTTTTGGAAAAGATTACATTAACTTTAGAATCATGAAAATAGGTTCCCAAAGGAGATGTCCTGCTAGGAACTTATGAACTGGCCTGCAACAGAGTTATCTGCTTTTCCTTGCATAGCTAAAAATGTTGTGTAGCACAATATTGTACGACTGATTTACAAAAAAAAAGTTACAAGTGTTTTTAGACATACCACAGCAGCTCTATCAAGCAACACATGTCTTGAGTAAGTTGCTGAAGTATTAGAGCAGTTTGTTATTCATATACTTCTTATGTTCTGTGTGTTCTGAGTTCAAAAGAATATTAGGAGTTAATTTTTCCTAGTTTGAAATGAAACAGTTGCACCATTCTGCATGGAAAATCATACCCAATATGGCTGCTGTAGACTCAAGTGGTAGCTGGAACCACTCTTGGAGGGCTGCTTCATCATTTTTAATTGTACTTGGGTGTAGGACTGTAGTGTTCTTGGGTGTATTGCATGGGCTGCATTATCTACAGCATTGTACAATAACAACTCTAGAAAAGGCAGTATACTTCACTGATGCTTGTCTGGTAATATCACTTCTGTGTTATAATGGAAGGGGTTTTTGTGATGTATGAAACTTGTGTTTTTTATATAAACAAGTACAGTTTAGACTAGTGTTGTGGTAATGCCTGTTCTCATCTGTAAATAGTATGTATGTACACAAGGCAATACTTCTGAATTTCTGATTTTTATTGCAGTCTTGGTTTTCACTATTAAAAGCATCAGGTTTTTGCTTCTAACTTTGTTCTTTGGAGTTATTAGATATGCAAACATGTACAGATAGTTCATATTTATGTATTGCACATAATCATGCTACCCAGCATCTATGCTATATTGTATTATGTAAATAATAAAATTGTGTACAGAAGGAAATACTTCCTTTTGTGGTAGTTCATTGGTTTTAGCTACTGCTGTAATCAGAAGGTGACCTTGTAGAGGTTGAAGTGCGAAGTTATTACTAAGTTCTTACAGTTGTCGTCTTTATGCTTAAGCCTGCCTATATCCTTATTTCTTATTTGGATATATCAACTTCTTTTAAGACAACTTGAATCAGCAGCTGGAATACGGATAACTGCTTGATGGCCTGACAAAAATGCCAGCAAACAACAGTGTCTGTAAAGGGAGCAAAGGAAAGCATTAGCAGTGAACTTCAAAGGTTTTTTCTTTTGCCTACAAAACTTATTTCCAGTGGATCTGTTACAATAGAGCCTAATACAGCCAGTGCACTGACTATGCTGTTCTGTCCACATCTTCAGCAGCACACCTGGGCAGAGTTTTTGTCAGGGTCAGCATCCAAAGACAGATGTTAAATATGACAGATTTATCCTTCCCACTGAGAAGGAGAAGGCCAGAACACAGCTCATTTTGCCTTGGAGGAAGACATCTTCGCTGCTGGACAATGCATAGAAATTGCTTATATCAGAAATGGATAATGTGCATCCCACCAGTCAGCTGGTACTCACGTGAGAAGTTAATTACTACAGCCACTGTACCTACCTCCAAAAAGGGAATAGCGGCATGCTCTGGGACTTCATTTTCCAGGATGAGTTTTGTGACTTAATCATGGAACTGCTTTAAAGCATCTAAATTACCATTTTTCTACCTTTTGTATCCACTGCAGCATAAAATACTTTTCTCTATTTTTTCCTTTTTCCTTTGTACCCTGAGAATGCCATGTAACTGGATATCTGAGAAGAATGTGTCTGTTTTTTCTACTGTCATGGCTAGAATGTTTGAGGACAGGTAAGAGTACAGATATTGGTGGTTAATGATTGTGACCATTGTTCAGATGAAAGCAAAGCCTGTACTTGGGTAGAATTTTTGAAATAATTGATCTGAGTAAATCTGTGGAGGAAAGTATGGAATGAAAAATCCCTCATTGTCCTATAAAATCATGAACTCTTAATATACGTGAATTGCCCACAAGTGGGATATGAGCCTGTACTAAAAAATCTGCAAGCTCCCCTGAGCTTTGTTCTTTTAATAATGAATCATTCAGGACCCTTAATTCTGTTGAGGCTTACTAAACACTTAAAGGAGAGAAAGGCTGTTTTGAAAAGAACAGGTAGAGACAAAGTGTATGGTGGGGGGTATTTAAACTTAGGTACAAACACTGTGGTACACCTTCCTTGTCAAAGAGTAAGAATGTAGGTGCAGAGTCAGATCCCACTCCACGCCACCCAACTTGGACACTGGCATACTTCAAAATGAATGGCTAACTCCCATAGCACTGCCAGGCAGTCAGTTTTAATACAGTGGTATTAAAATGCTTTGAGAAGAGTCTGTTTTCTGTAACGTTGAAACACAAGCCATTCGTAAAGCTGCTGTCATTTGCTCTTTCAGTTTGAAGTGACAAACAGCTACAAATAGTTCACCCATCCTCCAAGAAAGAAACATGATTGCTTCACATGACACCAGTCCTCATTTAACATTTGGCTGTTAGGCTGAGATGTTCTGAACTTAAACATAAACAAGCTGTTCTGGGAAGAGTCTGCCTCTGTCCCAAACAAGCTTACCAGATGATGGGGACTTTTTTTAGTTAGGGAACAAAAAGGAACATGCAAACAAATGAGTTAGTGAAAGCAGCTAGGTGAGTAAAAACTGGTAATTTTCAATCTGTTAAATACTTGCCTAGCTAATATGGCCTTGGAATACTATGTTCCACAGGATTCTGAGCAAACTTGGGTAGCTGTTGGTGTTGAACCTGAAATTTGGAGTATAACTGTTTCCCGCCTGTTGCTATAAGGCTGATGAAGCTGCCAGATGACTTGGTTGTGGTGTATAAGGATGCCATGGGGTTGAGAAGCCCTGACTATCTTCCTGGTACTTAGACCTTTGAAAATGTTCTTCTGGTAATCAATTATTCTGTCAAGTGTTTTGGAGGGTCATTATTCACAAGTCTAAGGGCATGTCTTAGACACTTGCTTGTATTTGTTGTGTCTCTTAGTCACTCAGAGAATACTTAATAAGGATTTTACTCTGGTGTCTATAATGAGTCAAAAAGCATGTCAGTTTCTTGGCGTTCCTAAGCAGCTCTACAATATCACCTGATGCGTTTGCTTGGAGGAAATGTGCAGCAAATAAGGAAATAGGCTTGTTTCAGGTATCCAGGTGTGTTAAGCAGAAGTGATTCAGTAAGAAAAGAAAATTTGCTCTCTGTATAGATGCCTGATTTACATGTTTGTTTTCTTAGTTTTTCAGCCAGCCAAACAACAAAAATGTATTTTCTCACAAATGACCTATTGCTGACTCCCTTGATCTTTTTCATAATTAAAACATCCTGGAAGTTTGAAGAACTGTGCTCTGATTCAGGAGACACAAAGGGCTCTAGCAGTACACCTGAAAGTACCTGGATGCCATTAGAATTAATATATGACAAACCCGAGCAGTTAACTGAGGGGAACAGTTAGAAAGCCTGAGCTGGATAAATAATGAGAGTGACTACCTGTAGAAATATTAAAACACAGTTCAGGAGCAAAGTCCTTTCTATGAGTGAAGTGAGGATTAGTTACCACTACAGTGAGGTCAATATCTAACAGAAGAGTTTTACATGCCATTTCACAGCCCTGAGTTACCCCTTAATCTACTGTAAACACTTCAGCTTTTAAATTATCCATTGTGATATTAATTTAGTGATGGCCAAAAAAGAAGAAACAGGGTTGGTGTTTTGTTTGGGTTAGTTGGTTTTTGGGTTTTTTTGGTTTTTTTTGCTAGACTGAAAAAAACACAAGGGACCATGCTTGAAAGGGCACATCAGCACACTGAAACTGAACTAAGGAATTAAGAACCAGATTTCTGACTGGTAAAGAATTGAATTCAGCAAAAGCAGCAAGTCTTGGCATGTGGGATGTGACATAGCTGAGTATCATCAGCCTGTGATTTAAATGGAATAAAAATAGAGGTGTAAAACTGTTAAAAGATGGCAGTACTTAAATAAATGCAAGAATCAACACCTACAATGGCAACCCAAAACACTGTGGCTTGATGGCTTATTTGTGTAGATACAAATCTGTACCATTTAAAAAAAAAAAAAAAAAAAGTGTTGATTATTGAAATTACTAGAGTCACAGTTGTGTCTCATTCTTGCCTTTTGTGCTGGATGGTAAGATGTAGATGACAGATTTTTTTAATTTTTTTTTAGTGCTGGTTTAATTTTAGTGTGTATTTCTCTCCTGTAAGCTTGTGGCCAGTATCGTAGCAATGTTGGAAGTTGTTTCTTGTGTGAATGTTACTTTGGCTCAAACCGCCTAAGTTAGACCTGTATCTTTACTAAACCTTGTAGTCCTAGCTTTTTTCACCCTGCATCCACAACCAGCTCACAGCATTTATTCCCAAGTAGCAATAAGCCTGGTTGTCACAAACTGAGATTTATTATAGAGAGAAAATAAAAAATAATTAGGATAATTATATCTACTTTTGCTCCTGAGTACAAGCATGCAGGGTAGAATATATTATGCAATTAGTCCTGACCCAAGGCAGGTTAAGTCTTGCACTTAGCTGACTGTATGGGCAACTGAGAGGGCTATAAGGTGAAGTGCCTCCCTCTCTGCAGACATTTCACATGTCTATGATTGCAGCATGATGTTATTTTTAATCAATACACAGGTGACAGCATTTCTCAATTATGTTACTGTGGTTGTTGAGCATGTCCTTACTTTGTTTTGTTTGGGTTTTTTTAATTGTTGTGCATGTATTATTCTTTTATTTGAATGTGTATAGGGGGTTGTATGTATCAAGGAATTTTATATATAAAATATAAAG